CACTCATGAATATGCTACATTACATGGCCTTTGCAGATGTAATTAAAGCCCATTGACCTGAACACAGGAAGATTAGCTTGGATTATCAACTGGGCCCGATGTTGGCACAGGAGTGCTTACAAGCAGAGCTTCACTGACTGAGGCAGAGGGGAGTGAGAAATATTCAAGACAATGAGAAGGACTCCATCTTCCATTACCAACTTGAAGATGAAGGGGCCTTGTGTCAAGGAAACTGTAACCTCAGTCCTACAGCCTCAAGGAACTGGGTTCTGCCAACTTGAATGAACTTGGAAGCAGAATCTTCTAGAGCCTCCAGATAAGAATACAGCCCATCTGACACTTTTTGTTTGTTTTGTTTTTATTTTGAAATTATTATAGATTCACAGGAAGTTCAGTATAGTGAGGTCCTGTGTACCCTTCCCCCAGCTTCCCACAATGGTGACATCTTATATAACTACTAGAGGCCCAGTGCACATCATTCGTGCACTTGGTGGGGGGGGTCCTCAGCCTGGCCTGCGCCCTTTTGCAGTCTGGGACCCCTCGGGGGATGTCCGCCTGCCAGCTTAGGCCTGCTCCCATCCCCTGAGGGGTCCTTAGCACTGCTGCAGAGGTGGGAGAGACTCCCACCACTGCCGCTGCGCTCACCAGCCATGAGCCCAGCTTCTGGCTGAGCAGTGCTTCCCCCTGTGGGAGGGCACTGACCACCAGGGGGCAGCTCCTGCATTGAGCGTCTGCCCCCTGGTGGTCAGTGCACGTCATAGCAACCTGTCATTCTGCTGTTTGGTCAATTTGCATATTAGCCTTTTATTATATAGGATAGTGCAATATCAGACCTGAGACCCAAGCTATAACCTTCACTCAGGACAACCTCCTTTACCTTCTTGCTAAAGTTGCTCCAGGGCAGTAACAATTTAAGGGTTCCTTTCTGGCTTTTATTTTATTTTATTTTTTAAATCCTTACCTGAGGATATGTTTATTGATGAGAGAGAGAGAGAGAAAGAGAGAGAATCATCAATCAGTTACTTCCTTTACATGCCCCATTGGGTACCAAATCTGCAACTTAGGTATCTACCCTCACTGGTAATCAAACCCACAACCTTTCCATATATGGGACATAGATCCAACCAACTGAGGCACACTGGCCAGGCTCTGGCCTTGGCTTTAAAAAATACATCTTTATTGAGATAAAATTTACATACCAATTCATCCAAAGTACAAAATTCAATAATTTTTAGAATATTCACCACTACCACCATATTGTGCAAGCATCGCCTCTATCTTATTCCAGAATATTTTTATCAGCCCCCTGCCAAAGCCCATACCGACTAAGTAGTCACTCCCTATTCCCTCCTCCCCAGCCTTTGGCAAACATGAATCTTTCTGTCTCTGGATTTGCCTATTCTGACCTTTCATATAAATGGAATCATACAATATATAACCTTCTGTGTTTGGCTTCTTTGAAGTAGTATAACATTTTCAAACTTCATCCATGTTGTAGCATGTATCAGTATTTCATTCCTTTTTATAGCCGAATAATATTTTGTTTATCCATTCACCTATTGATGAACACTTGCGTTGATTTCACTTTTTGGCTCTCACGAATAAATCTGCCATGAGCATTCATTTACAAGATTTTGTGTGGCCATATGCTTCCATTTCTCTTGGGTCTATACCTAGGGGTGGATCTGCTGTGTCATATGGTAACTCTATGTTTAACTTTTTGAGGAACTGCCAGACTTTTCCACAGTGGCTGCACCATTTTAAATTCCCACCAGCAATATAGGAGGGTTCCAATTTCTCCACATGCTTGCCAACACTTGTTATTACCTTTTTAATTATAGCTACTCTAGTGGGTGTGACGTGGTAGCTCATGGTTTTGATTCGCATTTCCCTAATGTCTAGTGATGTGGGCACATTGTATATAGTCTTCAGAGAAATGTCTACTCAGATCTTTTGTCTCTTATTATTTGGGTTATTTGTCTTGTTAGTGAGTAGTAATGGTTCTTTATGTATTCTAGATACAAGTCACTTATCAGCTATATGATTTGCAGATAGATTCTCCCATTATGTGCATTGTCTATTTACTTTCTTGGTGTGTCTTTTGAAGCACAGAACTGTTTAATTTTGATGAAGTCCAGTTTACCTATTTTTTTGTTGTTGTTGCTTATGCTACTGGTATCACATATAAGAAGCCATTGCCTCATCTAAGTGCACAAAGATTCGTGCTTCTGGTTTTTTTTAAAAATATATTTTATTGATTTTTTACAGAGAGGAAGGGAGAGAGATAGAGAGTCAGAAACATCGATCAGCTGCCTCCTGCACATCTCCTACTGGGGATGTGCCCACAACCCAGGTACATGCCCTTGACCGGAATCGAACCTGGGACCTTTCAGTCCGCAGGCTGATGCTCTATCCACTGAGCCAAACCAGTTTCGGCCGTGCTTCTGTTTTTAAAATATATTTTTATTGGTTTCAGAGAGGCAGGGAGAAGGAGAGAGAGATAGAAACATCAATGATGTGACAGAATCATTGATTGGCCGCCTCCTGCACACCCCCCACTGAGGATCAAGTCCACAACCTGGGCATGTGCCCTGACCAGGATCAAACCTGTGACCTCCTGGTTCATAGGTCGATGCTCAACTACTGAGCCACGCCGGCTGGGTTCGTGCCTCTGTTTTTAAAAGAGTTTTATAGTTTTCGCTCGTACATTTAGGCTTATGATCCATTTTGAGTTAATTTTTCTATATGATGTGAGTTAGGGGGTCCAACTTCATACTTTTGTTTGTATCTATCCAGTTGTCCCAGCACCATTTGTTGAAGAAATTTTTCCCATTGAATGCCTTTCTTGTCACCCTGTCAAAAATCAATTGACCAGTATGGGCTTATTTCTGGGCTCTCAATCCTATTCCATTGATATATATTTCTATCTATACAAGATTGTGTCATCTGCAAACAGAGTTTTATTTCTCCCTTTCCAGTCTGAATGCACTTTGCTATTTTGTTTGCTTATCTTCGCCCTAACATTGTAACTCTTTTGAGAGTTGCCTTCTTATCACTAGAGGACTGGCTTCCACATCTATTTCTTCATGTAGCAATTTAGACATTCTCTATTGCCTACCTGCCAAGCGAGTTGAGGATTTGACTTCCTTGCCCAGTGAACAAATAGCAAAGAGCAAAGACAAGCTCTGTGACCTTACCCATCCTTTTCCCTGAGTCCTTTTCGAGGTGTGTGGCGGTGGCGTGCAAAGAATGACACCTGAGGCAATGGGCTCAGGTGCCCTTAGAGTAGCCCTGCCAAACGAGTGTCCCTGGGTCTCCTTCCCTACACTCCTTTCTACAGGAACTTGTACATACAATGGACCACCCCACCAGCTGGTTTTGTTGGCATGGCTCAGGGGCTGAGTGTCGACCTATGCACCAGGAGGTCACGGTTCGATTCCCCATCAGGGCACATGCCCGGGTTGCAGGCTTGATCCCCAGTGTGGGGCATGCAGGAGGCAGCTGATCAATGATGCTCATCATTGATGTTTCTATCTCTCTCTCCCTCTCCCTTCCTTTCTGAAATCAATAAAAAAAAATTGTTTTTTAAATGTCTTCCTGTTTCAGAGGGATGTGTTCATAAACTTGGCTCATCCAGTCAGTCTCCCTACGGACTTTGTACCTTGGAGGTGGAGTTGGTCAGATGATGGTGGGCACACGGGAGAGTCTGGGCGGTGCTAGCTCCATGGCCAAAGGAACAGGAGAAGAGAATCCAGAAGAAGGAGGAGGAGGAGGACGAGGACGAGGAGGAGGAGGGGAAAGGCAGTAGCTCTGGCCCTGAGCCTCAGCCATCCCAACCAGCAGTTGAGCATTGACCTATGAACCAGGGCTTTGCTGGCAGTAACCCCAAGAGGGTCCGGTGGACACACCCAGAGGGCTGCAGTTCCAGAGGGACAATGACCCAGTACACAGGAGAGAGGGGCCTGGCGAGGATGATGTCACTTTCCAACCTCAGTGGGCGCTGCCTGGGGTAACAGGTAATGGCATCCACATGCTGGGCGACCTTGAGAAGCCACTTGGTCTTCTCGGATCTGATTTTTTCATCTCCGTTCTTTCCATCTGTTTGACTCCCACTGCTCTGGGATGAAGGTCATGCCTCCTTGGACCTCTTCTCTCCACCAACAGGGCTTCTGGGGCGGGGAGGCATCCATTAGAACCGTGGTCGGCAAACTGCGGCTCGTGAGCCACATGCGGCTCTTTGGCCCCTTGAGTGTGGTTCTTCCACAAAATACCACGTGCGGGCGTGCACGTACAGTGCGATTGAAACTTCGTGGGCCATGCGCAGAAGTTGGTATTTTGTGAAGAGCCGGTATTTTGTGGAAGAGCCACACTCAAGGGGCCAAAGAGCTGCATGTGGCTCGCGAGCCGCGGTTTGCCGAGCCGCAGTTTGCCGACCACTGCATTAGAAGCAACATCTTTATAGTGTCAAGTTCATCAGCAGAAGTCAAGGGAAAGGCTTAACCATCCACTCCCCTGCCCCCTCGTATGAGTGTCCTTGGGGCTGCTTCAACAAGTGACCAAAAACTTGGGGTGCAAACAACAGGCATTTCTTCTCCCCCAGTCCTGGAGGCCAGACGTCTGAAATCAAGGTGCCTGCAGGGCCGAGCTCCCTCCAGACGCTCCAGGGGAGGGTTCTTCCTTGCCTCTTCCAGCTTCTGGTGGTTGCAGGCATCCCTTGGGTAGTGGCCACATCACTCTAATCCCTGCCTCTGTCTCCACGTGGCCTATGGGTTAAGGTCACCTGTAAGATGGACTCTGGTCAAGAGATCCCCATCGACCCTCACTACAGAGTGAAGGAACACCTTAGGCCTGGGTGATCCCCATCTCTGACAACCTACTTAAGCTCCTCCCCTCAAGGAGCCTTCTATTTCAGAACTGACACTGTTTGCCCCACTTTGAGGATGTATCCAAACCCCCCTGGTCCTCGCTACACTTCCCTGCACTCTCTGTCTTCTTGGTACCCAGAGTCCCTGGGCCACCCTCACTGCAGTGGCACCACTGCTGATGGCCTGTGGCTTCTCGGCTTCTGCTCCACGGGTCTGGGACTTCACCATGTTGCCATCTCTCTGCCTGCACTGCTCGGCCCTCTGACCCGCTTTGCTGGCCAGCCTGCTGGCTCTTGTTTTTGAGACCCTCTCTCCCCACAGGAGGTTTTTGCTCTTGATGGCACAATTGTTTCTGGTAACTTTTTAAAAAATATATTTTTAATTGATTTCAGAGAGGAAGGGAGAGGGAGAGAGATAGAAACATCACTGATGAGAGAGAATCATGGATTGGCTGCCTCCTGCAGGCTCCCTCTGGGGATCGAGCCCTCAACCCAGGCATGTGCTCTGACCGGGAATCAAACTGTGACCTTCTGGTTCATAGGTCGACGCTCAACCACTGAGCCACTCTGGCTAGGCTGTTTCTGGTAGCTTTTAAACTAACAGCTTTATTGCCCTAGCCGGTTTGGCTCAGTGGATAGAACGTCGGCCCGTGGACCAAAGCGTCCCAGGTTCGATTCCGGTCAAGAGCACCTACTTACGTTGCAGGCTCAATTCTTGGCCCTGGTCAGAGCATGTGCAGGGAGGCAACCGATCGATGTGAGAGATGTTTCTCTCTCCTCTCTCTCTCTCTCTCCCTCCCTTCCACTCTCTCTAAAAATCAATGGAAAAATAGATCCCCAGGTGAGGATTAACAATAAGAAAAATAACGGCTTTATTGAGATATAATTCATCCATTTAAACTGTACAATGCAATGGTTTTGAGTATATTCAGAGTTGCGCACCCATCATTATATTCTAATCCCAGGGCATTTTCATCACTCCCCCCGCCAACAAGAAACTCTGTGTCCATTAGCAGTCACCCCATTGCTCCTCCAGCTCCCCAGCCCCGGGCAAGCACTCATCTACTTTCTGTCTCTGGATTCATAGCAGCTGCTCGGCATAGCTATTGCTGGGTGGGCTCTCTGCCTCCTGCACCTCCTGCGACTCTTGGCACCTCTCCTGACGTCAACTTGGTCCCACACAAGATCTTGTGGGTGCTCAGAGCTGGCTCCATCTCTCTCTCTCTCTCTCTCTCTCTCTCTCTCTCTCTCTCAAATCTTTAGCCAGGCCAGCGTGCCTCAGCAGTTGAGTGAACCAGGAGGTCACAGTTCGATTCCTAGTCAGGGTACGTGCCCGGGTTGTGGGCTCAGTCCCCAGTGTGGGATGTGCAGGAGGCAGCCGATCCATGATTCTCTCTCATCATTAATGTTTTTGTCTCTTTCTCCCTCTCCCTTCCTCTCTGAAATCAATAAAAAATATTTTACAAATGAATAAATAAAAGTGGCCACTACCTTCTTTAGCTCATTTAACTCAACAGGTGTGTCCTCCACATTTCATGGGTAGGAAGACCATCTAGAGAAGAACCTGATTGTTAGAGTCCGAGTCATGGCGAGTAAGTGAACAGATGGAGCCTCAGGGATACCTGGGCCCAAGCACTCCAGTGCCCAGGAGGAAGCTTGCTTTTCTTATTATTACTCTGGACCTTGTGCATTCTGGGAAGGATCGTTAAGACATAACTGACTCCAGTGGCCATCCCACCCCACCCCACATTTTTCTCTGTCTTGAGCCTGTTTTTACTCAAAACTCTGAAAAAGGAAATAATCCCCGGCAACAAATTAACAAAGAAGCATAATCCCCCCAGTGTCCTCACTTGTAAGGAAACTCCCAGCGTCTTTAATAAAAGCGAACCCTGACCTGCCAGGTAAAGGGAGCTGCATTCTGGCAGCTGGTCCGGCTCCGGTGGGGCTCGGGGAGGGAAGGGCCCGATCAGACTTCACTCTCACAAAGGTTGCTCTGTCTGGAGTGTGGGGGGCAGGGGGGGGAGGGCAGGCTACTGAAGGGAGACCCTGTCTGCTTTGT